TTGCTGTTGCTATTTCTCTGGCTGCTGCTCTTGCTGCTGCTGCTGCTGCTGCTGCTGGGATTGCAGCTGGTGCTCGTGCTATTGTTGCTGTTTGAATTGCTGCTGCTCCTGCATTTGCTGCTGCTTCTGCTGCTGCTGCTGCTGCTGCTGCTCCTGCATTTGCTGCTACTTCTGCTGCTGCTGCTCCTGCATCTGCTGCTGCTTCTATTGCTGCTGCTGCTGCTGCTGCTGCTGCTGCAGGTTACTTCTGTGCTGATGGATGCTGAGGGTTGTGTGTTGATATGCGGCAGCGCGCACCCAATGCCTTCACAAGTTGAATCTGAGTTGCTGCTGCTGCTGCAGCAGCAGCAGCAGCTGCAGCAGCAGCATGCAAAGCAGCTGCTGCAGTATAAAAAAAAACATAACCGCTACTTCTGTGATACCTGGCAGTAGAACATGCAGTAGATATTTCAACAGCAGCAGCAGCTGCTGCAGCAGCAGCAGTAGCTGCTGCTGCTGCTGCAGCAGTAGCAGCAGCAGCAGCTGCAGCAGCAGAAGCAAAGCAGCAGTTGCAGCAGTAGCAGCAGCAGCAGCAGCAGCTGCTGCTGCAGCAGGAGCAGCAGCAGCAGCTGCAGCAGCAGCAGCAGCAGCAGCTGCAGCAGCAGCAGCAGCTGCAGCAGCAGCAGCAGCTGCAGCAGCAGCAGCAGCAGCAGCTGCAGCAGCAGCAGCTGCTGCTGCTGCTGCTCCTGTGCCGGTGGTGTTTATTTGCTGCTGTGCACAGGCAGGAGGCTCCCTGTTTATTATTATTTATTATTTATAAATTATTATTTGTTATTTATAAATTATTATTAATATTTATTTTTTATTATTTATTGTTAATATTTATTTTTTATTTTTTATTTTTTATTTATTATTTATTATTTTATTAACATTTATTAATAAATAATAAATATTAATAATAATTAATAAATAATAATTATTATTTTTTATTATTTTTTATTGTTATTCCTGTTTAGCTATAAAAACAACAAATGTTTTAAAAAAAAAGAAAACAAAAAAACAAAAAAACAAACAAACAAATAAATAAATAATAAACAAAATAAAAAATAAAATAAATAAATAGATAAAAATAAATAAAATTAAATTAAAAATTAATTAAATAAAATAAAATACAATACAAACAAAAAACCTAATTTCAGTTTATACTACTGACCAGGGGGGCCCCCCC